AGGAAGACCGGTTTGGAACAGCTGTAGGAATCCATGCAATGAACAATGTGGGCTCGCATTGTGGCAGTGGGAATGAGAGGGAAAGGGGTGATGTTTCAGTGGCCAAAGTGAGGGATTCCAAGTGCCAGAGATTTGAGTGAGTGTGATGTCAGCCTTACCTTCAGTGAATTAACAGTTGGGACAACATGTAAGCTATCAACCTTGTTATGCAAAACTACATTCACAGTAAGGCTATTTCCTCCTATAAGTACTTCTTGTGAGAAATACAGAGGGTTTTTTGTTTTTGTTTTTCTGGGGAAATTTCCAACTGGAAGAATTTTAGTCCCAGTCCTTTTTGATGTGGATAATTAGAAAAGGAAAGAACTTGAGATTCAGAAATACTTAAATGTGGTTGGAAAAGCAGATGGCAGAAAAAGAAAAATTTTTGCAGTGAAATTTGAAGATGAGGGAAAGGAAATGCAGGCCCCAGAACTGTAGTCTGGCAACTCCTGTGAGGGGGAGGAAAGCCTGAGATGTGTGGGGCCAGCTGACAACATCTGCTTTGGCACAAATGATGCTGGGCAGCAGCATTGAGACTGCACAGTGTCATTATGGATATTGGTGATCATATTTGAGAAGTGTCAGCGGAGAATAAGTTTCCCCAAATCTTTTTCCATTGCAGGCATCCAAATTACTCATCATTTCTGTGACCTTGATGGGACCTAGGTGGCAGAGGTGCACATGTCTAAGCTATAAAGGGGAAGCCATGTGCCTGAATGCAGAGCCAAGCACAGAAAGGAAAAACCCACACACATCCTTGTTGTATGCATATCATTTGCAACAAAATTAATTTACCAGCAACATGTGAGACTATAGGGAAGGGAGATTCAGAAGTTTCTAGTAAACAAGGGAGGTTAACCTGGAATAGTAGTACCCATTATTACTAATTTAAAGTGTTTAAAGGGGATTTTCTATTTTCTTTCTTTAGTGTGCTGGTTTTTAAATTTTGTTTTAAATTAAAATAATTTATGAGGGATTTCATTAATTCACTTATGAACTTGAATTCTTAAGTTTTTATTCTCCCTATCAGGTCATAAATTTGAAAATTGCAAATTACACGAACTCTAGCTTAAGAATGCAAATTTACATGGAAAACCAGAAGAGCGAAAGATTTATTCTGCCCAGAAAGACTATGGGAGAGGGCTGCAAGGGTAAATGACATTGTAATTGGGCCTCAAGAATGAGGATTTCATTAAAGAGGCAATAGTAGAAATGCCTGGCAGAAGCATGAAGTAACATGTTCAGGACTAGCAAGTAGCAGTTCAAGGTGGTGAAGGCTTAAATTAGCTGATATGTCAGAGGATGGGGTGAGAGCCAAAGATAGAAACATTTGTTTGGGTTGTTCTGTTCAGCTTCAGTAAACTCAGTTGGACAATCCACCTTAATGTGTACCAGAGAATAGATTTAAAACATTAGGAATGAGTGAGGCCTTGTAAAATTGGAGTTGTTCTTTTTCTTCTCAAAGATGGTAGTAATTGGTGAATTTTTTAGAGTTGGTGGCACTATCCTGAAGGGTTCCATTATTCCTATGAAAATTAGTAGTTCTTGTGGTAAGGAAATGTTTTAGGAATTGCTGATAATAGGTATGTCAACAACTTCCAATTACATAATGCCCCTAGAAAGATCCAAATCTTTTTCATGTGTTTCTTTCAAACTCCAGAAATAGTACTGGCAAATGTTCAGAGAAAGCAGAAATTTGCCAGAACATGCGCCTTGAAACCCCAGCTCACCTCTTTATGAAAACAATCTTAGACAAATCTCTTACATGTCATTCAGACTATATTTCTTGACTTTGGTGTCCATATGGTTCATGTTAGAAATTATATGCATGTAAAAAAAAAACCACAACTTTTTTCCTGTCTGTAACTACTCAAGTGCTATAATTTGACCTGGGTCATGATTTCTATATTCACCATTCTTATAGTTAAAACTTTTACTTCCAGATCTTTGTTAATACTTCCACAAAGGATTAAGAAACATCACAACATATGAATTGAAATACTTCATTTTTTTAAAAAAAAACATAAATTCATGAATGACATTGAAATTAAAAAGCAGTGCTATTTATAGGCCCTAAATTCTTTCTCCTCTTCTTTAAAATTAAATCCAGACATCATTCCTGCTAGAACTTTAACAAAGTTAAACAAAACAAGTGACATGTTCTTAAAACCATGGAAAATACCATTGTTGTTTTAATCAAATCAGGTATAACAACTTAGGTCTGGCCAGAGTTGGATGACATCTATATATATAAAAGCCCAGTGACTGAAAGACGGGAATGACCAGAAAGACTAGAATGACTGGTCGCTATGACATGCACTGAGCAGGCAGGCAGGCAGGCAGGCAGGCGAGCGGTTAGAAGCAGGCGGTCCCAGATTGCGAGAGCGATGTCTGACTGCCTGCAGGGATCAGGCCTAAACCAGCAGTTGGACATCCCTCGAGGGGTCCCAGATTGCGAGAGGGTGCAGGCTGGGCTGAGGGACCCCCTCCCATCCCGTGCACGAATTTCATGCACCGGGCCTCTAGTATTTTAATGATGGAATATAGTATCTTTTGCTAACTAGTTATTAGTTTAGAGTTCTACCCAAGCTAATGTTGATTATGTTTCAAATTCAGAGCTTGCTCATGCATCCAAGTTTAATGCTTCCCTTTTCCCCTGACTACTAACTTAGCGAAGGGGAGTGAGTTAGTAACCATCAAATCTTTCCACAGCTTATTGGGAGAGCTTATTAGTGGAAAATAAGTGAGGAGCTTTGGTTTACATCCATTGGCCTGCCTGGAGCCCACTGGGAAAGTCTGGAAACAACACTTGATGTGACCAAGGAGCTGGATGGAGCCAGTTTGATTGTGCAGCTCTAGGACACCCTGCAGATGTGCTCTCAGTTGTAGTTGTGGTTGCCCATACACGTCGTCTTATGTGGTACTGGAATAGATTCTATATGGGGCACCTGAAGGTCCTTCTCATACCTGACAACCAGCTAATACTATTTTTAGATGGGTCCCAGACAGCCTGTAATTTCCATGACTATTAAATATTTAGAATGAGTTGGCAAGTTCAAACCAGGTTTCATGACTACTCCTGGAATTGTCAGGGATAGATGCCAAGTAAAGTTACTTTTTGTCAGGTGGATGAAGTGTTTTGCTTTGTTTTTAGCATTTATATGATATATTTATGATTATTAAAGGATATATTAGATCAATCAATTTTAGTCTATATATTAACCTAACAAGCAAAATTCATTTTTATTAAGCAATTCTCCACCTCTTAAGAAACACAGTTAAATTTCAAACTGTTTCTGTTGTCTCCAAAAACTGGAATGTATTTAGAACTTTTTTAAAAAAAGTTAATTAGTAAAGCATGCCTTTCAGGGCACCTATTTCTATTGATAGGTATAGATATTTTCATTTTGGTTGTTTTATTTTCACTCCAGAGCACCGAGGTAATACAACACTGTTGAATCTACCACTGACACTTCCCTTGTCTCACTTCAGTGATCTTCAGAGGCTACTCCACCTCTAAGAAACCGTACAGATCTTCCCCTTGATTTCACAAAGGAAGAAATTAACACTCAGAGAAATTAGCTTACTTGTCCTCTCCAAAGTCTGCATAGATCTTCATTACATTTAATAGAGAGAACATAATAGTAATCCCCTGGCTCCGTGCCTTTCCTACCTCACTTCCAGTAAAACATGGAAATAAGTGGGTGACCAATCAGAACAATTTGAAATGTATTTTAGATGTTAGATACAAAAGTACCCACTTCCTTTTAAGAGATTTGCATAAGATGACATCAACGAATATTATTACTTTTATGTTAAGTATTTCAAAAGGCCAAAGAGCATATTCTACCAGAATGCTTGATTCTGTTATTTTATGCCAAAAATGTCTGAACCTTATGTGGTCTTATTAAGCATATGGAAATATTGTGTCAGACTACTCTTACTGAAATAAAATGGTTTCAAAATGTGAATATGTACTCTTTTAATGATCATCAAACTCATTCTAAGCATGCATTTTAATTTATATCTACATGTGCTTTTTTAAAAAAAAAAAAAAAAGAAGAAAAGAAATTTAACTCTGAGTTATTGTTTTCCTCAACTTACCAAGGAATAAGAACTTTATAATTAATTAAATGACAAATTGATGGTTCCATTTTAAAAATTCAAAGAAAAAATAGTATGATTAAAAATGAAGACTTTATTCTCAAAAATTTGTCTGTGGTTTTGTACTTTAGCATTGCCATCTGTGTTTTGGCAAGTCACTTTATTTAAAAGTCATTTTAAATAAAAAGGAATCTAAACACAGACTAACTTCATTAGAAATCAGGATAGCGCTCCCTTCCTGAGTACAATGACCAAAGTGGCCCCGAGAGGCTTCCTGGGAGCTGGTGATGCTCTGTTTCTTTGGGTGCTGGTGTGTTTAAGACTAAATGGCACATTTATGTGAATGTTTCTGTATATAATATTTCAATTCAAAGTGAAAAAATTAAGGTGCTAAATAGAGTCTATGAAACTTGTCCTGTACAACTTACAACCATGTGACCGGTAGTATTGTGTACTATTTATTATTTTATTCCAAATTTAAAAGAATATACTGAAAATTTGATAGATTGCTTTTTTTTTCTTTTTTTTGTTGCCTAAATCCTTCCTATACTCTACTAGGAATTTAGATGTCAAATTGCTAAGTATTTTACCAATTCAAGGAAAATATATGTAATCTATTATATTTGTCATTAAGGTAAAAACAGAGTAGGACTTTACCTTCTGAGTTTCAGAAAAGTGGCATCTTTTCTTAAAGTACATTCTAAACATGGTTTTATAGACTCTTAATAACGTGTAAAGAACTTTCAAGTTAAGCATTCTTCATATTTATTTGTCTAGTTGATAATAGATGGTGCATTATATTTTCCTGTGACTTAGAAACAAGAAAGAATGTTTACTTTTCAAATCCTCCTTGACAGGTTGCCTCTGCCAGAGCAGACATTCATGGGCTACTGGACCGTGGGCCAGTCAAGAGATGGAATGCAGAAACTGTTGTGTCCTGCAGAAACTCATCATATAGACATAAAGGTTGATATTACTTCCTCACTAAAATATTGAATGTTACAGATTTTTATATATCTTCACTGGAGAAAATTCATATAAGCTCAGAAATGACTTGTTCTGATGTTATTTTAGAGTAGCTTGAGATTCTGCATGAACTCTTAAGTCAGTTTGGCCTCTGAGAGACTCCATGTAGAGAATTGCTAATGGTCAGTAGAATTCTTAAGAGCTAACCTTTATATCTTGTGTGTTATTCTAGGACAGTTACTCCAATATATTTGTAAAAAGGCAAAAGAAAAGAATATCAATCACTAGTTGCAATGGAAACCCCTCTATTGCGAAATCTAATTCCCTACAAAGTTCCTTGGTATTTCAAGCAATAAGAGATTTATTGTAGGGAATTAGATGCTTATGAAATTTTTAGAAAGAACAAAAGGACTTAGTTTCAAGATCAGTGTTTCTGCTTCTGCTACTACCCCTGTTGCTGAGCGCTACACAACAAAGCAGATCGGCAAACTTTTTCTCTAAAGTATCAGGTAGTAAATATTTTAGGCTTTGTGGCTATACAGATTCTGTCACAACTACTCAACTCTGCCATGGTAGCACAAAAGCGCCTTAGACAGTACTTTAACAAATGAGTGTGTCTATGTTCCAATAAAATTTTATTTACAAAAGCAGGCAGTGAATCAGGGTTGACCAGGGTGGTTTGTTGATCAATGCTTGCAGGAGAGCATAGAATCTGATGGTTCATTTTCGTCAGAGACTCCTTGTAGACTACAGCTGCAGGAAGACGTCCACTACCTCTTCTGCCTTCCAAATCTCATGCAAGTGCATTTAATTGGTAGAACTAAATCTCATCCAGAACCCTTGCTGCAAGGGACTATGAGAAATCTGGTTTCTAGTCTTCTTGCTCCTGAGATACAGAGACTATTCTGAAAGAGTGAGGGAGCATGCATGCCACAGTAGTCAATATCTAACCCAAACACTTTTTTTATTAGTTAAGGACTGATTGTATACAAATCATTGAAATTTTAGTTATATCTATGTAATTTCCAGGATACCATATCTGAGTACCCAGTACTAATAGCAGTAACATTATTAAATTTGTTCCTCTGCTTATGTCACTATTGAATAATATTTTAGCATGTGTGAAATACTCTACCTTTTTTTAATTATCAGTGAGTTGTTTTTAATTTCAGTTGTTACTGTTTTTTATATTTTATTTCAAAGACCCAGGGTTAGCCATTACATTCTGTATAGTGATGTAATAATCATCTTTGCAGTGGAACTATATCAGGCTCTGATTCATTCATTTGCAAATTATTCTCCTGGTTTGGACAGTTCTGAGTCCCAGTACTTGGCATTCAAAGTTGCTCTTGGCTTAGAAAGAAATGAAATAATGAGAAATACTATGGGGTTTTACATCTGGTATATTTTATGAGTAAAAAAGAAAATAAAGTGAGAAATTAAATAACAGCACATGTGGAAGCATTTATAAATGCAATCTTATGGTATTGTTATAAATACCATGGCAGTCAATAACATAAGAAGAGAGATATCAAGATATTGATTATTTGAATGTAAAGTCTGTATTTTGGAAGAACTACAGCTTTTCTACATTTTGGTAACTACCCAAATTTCTTAACTCAGGTAAACTACTTTATTATAGGGTCCAGCACTTATAAACATACAGGAGTATCCAATAGAAAGACATGAAGGAAGATTTCAAACCTTCACTGAAGAATGTGCCTCCTGGAAGTTGCCATTGGATGAAATTAACATAATCTGTGACATCGCTACATCACATGGTATGTCAGTTTTTTCTTTTGATTTTTCCTTCCTGCACTGATTTTTTTTAAAGGAAATCAAGAAGTCCATAGACTCCTTAACCGTCATCCATAGGTTGGATAGCAATTATATATAATTTAGAACTAATTTCCTATACCAACCTAACAAAATACTATTGTGGAATCCCTTAAGCACTGCTAAGTTTGTCTGCATATGTCTGTTTCTCATTACAACTGTAGCACAAAGTTAAACACACCCAGGCTTGGACTAAAAATAGAAGGGAAAAATAAAAAGGAGAAACATTGGACTCTTTGGCTGGGATTCCAGTTTTGTGATTGCATGAACCATGAAAGCAGGACTGGAATGATTTGCAGTCATTAAACTTCTCATTGTGAAGAATGACAAATAAAGGATGTGAAATTTTGGCATCTACATTTCTGGACTGTTGCCATTACCTACTGACTCATGCAGTGTGCCCTGGTACCTTTTGGTAGAAGTTTCTCAATTAATGGCAGTTACTAAAGTAATATAAACAAAAGCGAAGGCAGGGGGAAGGGAGAGAGTCTTTAACTTGACTAAGATGGAGATTGTTTAGGCAAAAATTCAGTAGCAAGTCTTATTCATATAAGTTCTATAGATACTGATTATTCCTAAAAGCAGTTATATTGAATAAAAATGTGCTTTAAAAATGTACAGAGTTTTTTTGGTAACAGATTGGTGCTCTTATTAAAATAGTAGAGGCCCAGTGCATGAAAATTCATGCACTTGTTGGGGGGGGTGGTGTCTTTCAGCCTGGCCTGTGCCCTCTTGCAGTCTTGTACCCCTCAGGGGATCTACTACTCTGGGGGGAGTGGGCCTAAGGTGGCATTCAGACATCCCTCTGGCAGCCTGGGAGCCCTCGGGGGATGTCCGACTAATGGCTTAGGCCCGCTCCGGGAGCAGGCCTAAGCCATTAGTCGGACATCCTTAGTGCTGCTGCACAGATGGGAAAGGCTCCTGCCACTGCTGCTGCACAGGCCAGCCATGAGGTGGCTTCTGACCGGGCGGCACTCCCTCTGTGTAAGCGCACTGACTACCAGGGGGCAACTCCTGCATTGAGCATCTGCCCCCTGGTGGACAGTGCGCGTCATAGTGACTGGTCATTCCCAGTCATTCTGCCGTTAGGGTCAATTTGCATATTACCCTTTTATTATATAGGATTTTACACTCACTAGTAGAGAGTAAATAGGGATTTTATGGATATAGTTTGAAATTTGGCCCTTGTCTCATATTTAGGACTTGTACATAAGTATACTGTGATCATGTGCCCCATTGCCCATCACTAATCAGTGCAGCACTTTTTTCTTTAACCCTTGTCACAGTGTCACAGTTCTCCATACAGCATTCCAGGCAGCTGCTGCCAATTAGTCAGAATTGGCCCTTAAAAGATGAACTCCGCCCTAGCTGGTTTGGCTCAGTGGATATAGTGTCCACCTGTGGACTGAGGGGTCCCAGGTTCGATTCTGGCCAGGGGCACATGCCCGGGTTGCGGGCTTGATCCCGGGAGTTGGGGGGGGAGGGCATGTAGGAGGCAGCCGATCAATGATTCTCTCTCTTCATTGATGTTTCTATCTATCTCTCCCTCTCCCTTCCTCTCTGAGATCAATAAAAATCCTATATAATAAAAGAGAAATATGCAAATTAACCATCCCTCTGCTATGCTCAAGCCATGCCCACCAGCCACGCCCACCAGCCAATCAGGAGTGAGTATGCAAATTAACCCAACTAAGATGGCGGTGGCCGCAGAGCCGGAGCAAGCAGGAGGCTTGGGTTGCCCCCGGCAATGGAGGAAACCAAGCTTCCCACCTGCCCTGGCCTGCCCTGGGCTATGATCAAGGCTACAAAGTTTCAATTATAGAAGATAAATAAATCCCAGAAAAAAAAGAAAAAAAGGAGAGGCTGGGAGCTTGGGTCGCCGGGGGGCATGGCCAGCCTGAAAACGGCCATCAGCCCCTCACCCAGACTGGTCAGGCACCCCAGCAGGACTCCCCCACCCTGAAGGGGCTGTTGGCAGCATGAAAACGACCCTCAGCCCCTCACCCACGCTGGCCACACCCCCATGGGGTGAGGGTCCCCACTAGGGGGCTTGGCCAGCCTGCAAATAGCCATCAGCCCCTCACCCAGGCTGGCCAGGGACCCCAATGCAGACCCCCACTCTGAAGGGGGTGTGGCCAGCCTGAAAACAGCCCTCAGCCCCTCATCCAGGCTGGCCACACTCCCCTGGGGTGAGCGTCCCCACGGGGGGGCTTGACCAGCCTGCAAATAGCCATCCGCCCCTCACCCAGGCTGGCCAGGCACCCCAGTGGGGACCCCCAGGCTGAAGGGGGTGTGGCCGGCCTGAAAACGGCCCTCAGCCCCTCACCCAGGCTGGCCAGGCACCCCAGCACGACCCCCACCCTGATCCAGGACACCTTTCAGGGCAAACCAGCTGGCCCCCACCCGTGCACCAGGCCTCTATCCTATATAATAAAAGGGTAATATGCAAATTGACCCTAACAGCTGAACGACTGGTAATGACTGGTCACTATGACACACACTGACCACCAGGGGGCAGACGCTCAATGCAGGAGCTTCCCCCTGGTGATCAGTGCGCTCCCACAGGGGGAGCCCTGTTCAGCCACAAGCTAGGCTGAGGCTTCCAGCACAGCGGTGGTGGTGGGAGCCTCTCCCGCCTCTTCAGCAGCACTAAGGATGTCCAACTGCGGCTTAGGCCTTCTCTCTGCTGGCAAGATGACATCCCTCGAGGGCTTCCGGCTGCCAGAGGGATGTCTGACTTCCAGCTTAGTCCTGATCCCCCGGGGAGTGGGCCTAAGCCAGCAGGTGGACATCCCCCAAGGTGTCCCAGACTGTGAGAGGGCACAGGCTGGGCTGAAGGAACCCCCGAGTGCACAAATTTTTGTGCACAAATTTTTGTGCACTGGGACTCTAGTATATTTATAAAAAAAAAATGAACTCCTTTGCTGTCCCTCATATAATTTAACCCTTTATTTGAGTATTGTCTACATTTGAAAACTAGGGTGTTTTTTTTTGTTTGTTTCTTTGGTTTTTTTACCTATTTTGTATTTGTAAGAGAAAATAGCATTTTATTGGGTTAGAATTATATATATGCCAAAGACCAAACAGTATTTAATGCTTGCAATATCAGAGAACAATTAATAATTTTAAGTATATCTGTGCTAATGTTTTGACTATATTCCCTGGTATCCTATATTATGTGCAAAGGTACTCAATAAATGTTGAATTGAACTGATTTGTACACAGGCTTCTAAATAATGTCTTCTTCTACAGCTTCTGTTGACTTGTGTTTCTTATCAATGTTAGGTGTTTATTTAAATTTCCTATATCTTTAAATGCTCTTTATTTGTATATGTCTATGATGTGTGCCCACACATACACGCATACACACACACACACACACACACACACACACACACGTATACATATGTCCCAAATTTTCTGGTATAGTACCAAATATAAATGTTATATCTTGTGTCTTAATTTTGAGTTCAGAAAATATGACCACTGTCAAATAGATACCTAGATGAAGAATGAGGCTGATAGCATTTATTATACAAAAGCAACTTATTCCCTTGCAACTTATTCCTGGAGATTATACAAAACATATTCTATTGTCTGACTATTCAAAGGGAGGTGCTCAAACCAGCAACATTGGCATCTCCTGGGAGCTTGTTGGAAAGGCTGAATCTGAAACCCACCCCAGACCTTCTGAATCAGGAGCTACACTTTTATTAGATCCTTAGTGATTCATATGCACTTGAAAGTTGAAGAAGCCCTGATAGAGGATTCAGAAAATGGACCTAGTCAAGTACTCAGATTGAAAATACAGTGATTTTTTATTTTATTTTATTTTTTATTGAGTTATAATTGACATATAACATTATATTAGTTTCAGGTGTACAACATAATGATTTGATACTTGTATTGTGAAATGGTTGCCATAATAAGTCTAGTTAACATTCGTCACCATACATAGTTAACACAGTTTTTTTGTGTGAAGAGAAGGGAGGGAGATTTTATAATAAGTATTCAAATGATAAGCAGTAGTTTGAAAAATTAGATCCATAAAGCTAAGAATAAAAAATGGGATTATTTATAGCAAGAAAAGCTTAAGGATCTAGTAACTATCTAGGAAATGCAAGATTAACAGATAGAGGTTGACCAGCTTTTTTTGTCCACCTGAAAAACAATAAAACAAGAGAAAACAGACCTTATTGAAGCACAAAGCACTTTTCATTCATACAGGGAAGAATTTCCTGCATTGAGAAGTGTTAAATATTTAATGGTGTTATTGTGAGATATTATGGAATTCTCTTGGGAACAAATACTTCCTCAAATAGTTAGCTGTGGCCCAATCTACTTCCAGAGCAGGAACTAAATTGCTTCTCATGGTCTTTCAGCCTAATCAATCCATCTGTTGAGTTTCAACTGTGTTTAGTCTCATGATTCAGTTTTCACTGGTTGTCTTGATCAGTCAGAAAATTTGTTACAGATTAAAAAATTAACTCCTTTTTGTCATTTCAGAAAATGAGGAATATACTCTGTATGTAGTGACTTGCAATCCTGTTTCCTTATACTTCATGAGTATGGCTGGGAAAATTGGCTACTTTGTGGACTTTTTTGACATCTTCCCACGAACCGCCAGTGGAGTTTGGCACCCATTTGTGACAGTGGCACCCCTGGGAAACCCCCTCAATGGTCAAGTGGTCCTCCATGAGCAGCAGGTAATGCATCCAGGTTACTCACATGGTACTCACATGCCAAGGGTAACTTATGTGGAGTAAAAGGCAAGAATGATTTACAGCCTATAACTGAAAATAAGTATTTTTATAAAGATTAAGAAAAGGGGCTGGACAAAGGATCCAAAGTTGTATTTTGTCATTACCACAAAGACAGGTTAATGGTCTTCCTCTCTTCAGAGACTTCAGCATGACTTGTAAGTCTGGAAACATGAAAGTTAGGGTTTCTTAACCTCAGCACCCTTGACATTTAAGGCAAGATAATTCTTTGTTGTGAACCTTGCATTCTCTTTGGGGAGATAAACAACAAATAAAAAAATATGCCAATTTCAGATAGTGTGTTTCACAGGCAGTGTGTTTTAATTAGTGAGAATTCTAAAGGTCTAAGTTCATCTGTACTGTATCAGTAGAATGGAGTGTAAAAGAAACTAGATAATAGTTTAAGGAATGATGGGGATGGGTAGGAGGCGTTGGGAGGGTAACCAATATTAAGAGATGACATTTTCTCTGAAACCTGAATGAATCCTTTATGCAGAGGATGCCATGTAATTGCTTTAGTCCATTTGGGCTGCTATAACAGAGAAACCATAGAAACTTATTAGCCATCTCTTTCTTGCATGAAGAAGGAGTGATAAATCTCTTTGGTGTTTCATATTTACTTATTCATTGAATGTATTGGGGGTGACATTGGTTAATAAAAACATGCAGATTTCAAGTGTACTACTCTATAACACATCATCTGCATACTACATCTCGTGCTCACCACTCACCCAAAGTTAAGTCTCTTTCCACTGTCATTTATCCGCCATTTGACTTCTTCCATCTCCCTCACCAGTCTTTCCCTCTAGTGATCACCATGCTATTGTCTATTTCTGGTTTTTTTGTTTGTTTATTTGTGGGGTTGTGTGGTTTTTTTTTGTTTGTTTGTTTGTTTTGCTTAATCTTAGCCTTTACCTTTTCCACCAAGCCCCTCAACCCCCCACCCTTCTGACAGCTGTCAGCCTGTTTCTATTTTAGTTGTTAGTTTATTTTGTTCATTAGATTCCACATACAAGTGAAATCATATATTTGTCTTTCTCTGACTGGTTATTTCACTTATTGTAATACTCTGCAGCTCCATTTATTGCTGTTACAAAAGGTAAGATTTTGCCCTAGCTGGTTTGGCTCAGTGGATAGAGCGTCAGCCTGCAGACTGAAGGGTCCCAGGTTTGATTCCAGTCAAGGGCACATGCCTGGGTTGCGGGCTTGATCCCCATTAGGGGACATGCAAGAGGCAGCCAATCAATGATTCTCTCTCATCATTGTTGTTTCTCTCTCTCTTTCCTTCTCCCTTCGCTCTGAAATCAATAAAGATATATTTTTTAAAAAAGGTAAGATTTCCTTCTTTTTATATGACTAAGTATTTATTCCATTGTGTAAATGTATCACAGCTTTTTATCCACTCATCTACATATGGATACTTGGGCTGCTTCCAAATTTTGGCTATTGTAAATAACACCTCAATGAACATAGGAGTGCATATATTGTTTTAAATTAGTGTTTCTAGTTTCTTCTGATACATTCCCAGAAGTGGAATTACTGGGTCATAATGCAATTCCGTTTTTAATGTTTTGAGGAAACTCCATAGTGCTTCCCTTAATGGCTGTACCAATCTGCATTCCCACCCACTGTGCACAAGGGTTCCCTTTTCCATATTCTTGCTTACACTTGTTTGCTAATTTATTGATGATAGCCATTCTGACAGGTGTGAGGTGATATATCATTGTGGTTTTAATTTTTATTTCTCCGATGATTAGTGACATCAAGCAACTTTTCATATGTCTGTTGGCTATCTGTATGTCCTCTGTGGACAAGTGTCTATTCAGGTCCTTTACCCATATTTTAATTTAATTGTTAGTTTTCTTTGTGTCGACTTGTATAAGTTCTTTGTAAATTTTGGAAATTAACCCTTTATCAGATGTATCATTGATAAATATGTTCTTCCATTCACTGGGTTGTCTTTTAATTTTACTGATGGTTTCCTTTGCTGTGAAAAGCTTTTTAGTTTGATGTAGTCCCATTTGTTTATTTAATTTTTGTTTCCCTTGCCTAAGGAGATAGATCAGAAAAAATATTGCTATGAGAGATGTCTGAGATTTTACGGCCTATGTTTTCATCTAGAATTTTTATGATTTCACAACTTAAATTTAAGTCTTTAATTCATTTTGAGCTCCCTTGCAGGTAACTAACTGTCTTTCTCTTGCTGTTCTTAAGATTCTCTCTTTATCTTTAACCTTTGCTATTTTAAATAAGATGTTCCTTGGTGTGGGCCTCTTTTGGTGCATCTTGTTTGGTACTCTCTGTGCTTCCTGAATTTGTCTTTTGTTTTCCTTCATCGGATTAAGGAAGTTTTCAGCCATTATTTCTCCAAATAGGTTCTCCATCCCTTGTACTCTCTCTCTCTTCTCCTTCTGGTAGTCCTCTGTTGCAGATGTTGTTACAGTTAATATTGTTTCAGAGGTTCCTTAAACTTTCCTCATTTAAATTTTTTATTGTTGTTGCTGCTGCTCTGCTTTGGTGTTTCCATTCTCTTGCCCTCTAAATCACTGATTCGATCTTCTGCTTCATCTAACCTGCTGCTTATTCCTTCTAGTGTAGTCTTCATTTCACATGTAGTATTCTTAATTTCTGACTGGTTCCTTTTTACAATTTCTGTGTCCTTTTTAATGCTTACTATCTCTTTGCTTAGGTTCTCACTGAGATCATCCATTCTTCCTCCAAGTTCTTAAGCATCCTTATAACCATTGTTTTAAATTCTGCACCTAGTGTCTTGATTGTTCCCATTTCATTTAATTATTTTTCTGGGGATTGCACTTGTTCTTTCATTTGGGGCATATTTCTTTGTCTCCCCATTTTCCCTCTATTTATTCGGTAGATCTGCTATGACTCCCAAATTTGTTATGACAGCTTTATGATGTAGGTGTTCTGTGGGGCTCAGTGGCACAATTTTCCAGATCACATGAGTTCAGTAATGTCTCCTTTGTGGGCTATGTCTGCTGTCCTGTTGTAGTTGAGTCTTGAATGCTGTTGGCCCATTTGTGGGTGAAGTTAAGCCTCTGGATGGCTGGCTGGCTATAAGGATGGATATCAGTCACTGTGTTTGAGTCTCTGTGGAGGGGCTGCCCCTATGGCAGAGTTATTCCCAGCAGGATCTGTTGCCTGTCAGAATCCCCCTTTCTGTGTGCCACTTGTGTGGCTAGTTGTGGAAAGCTCTGGTGTGGTCTGAAGCCCACCACTGGTTGTGTTGGTTCTGGGTCCACTTGAGCGGGTTTTCAATGCAGATTGATGTCAGATGTTATCTATAACTGGCTTTGGGCTACCTGTCTGGCGCTACCACTCTATTCACTGTTTGTGGCTGTGTCTGCTGTGCCTGGGTGTGTGTGGGAAGGGTCAACTTCCTCCAGCCATGAGCTGAGGGAAGATAATAAAAGGTCCAAGGCACCCTGAAGTCCAGCTCGCCTGTCAGCTGCTCCACCATCCCTGAGGTTGCCTGGTCTTCCTACAGAGCTTTCCAGAGAAAGACTGTAGAATGTTCCCAGGCTGGCCACAACCCACAAATCCTTCCACAAGGCACGAGCTTGATAGGGTGGGGTGACCAGTGTTGGGAGGTTGGGAGGATGGGGCTAGAGGGGACAAGCATGGTCAGGCATTTATTTTGCGGGGGAGGGGTTGTTCTCTACTCCAGAGCCATACCACCCAGTCTCTGCCAGAGTCTCCAACCCTAGCTCCTTCAGGGGAAGTGTACTGCAGGTTTAGGTTGGATGAAGCCTGCTGTCCCCTCTGCAGGAGCAGTCTCAGCAGGGCAGGGCCACTAGGAATTGGGAGGACAGATCAAGTCTCCCATTGTGGGTGTTGCCTACTGGGCCTGTACGATGGGGGCAAGCACATTCCCTACTCCCACACCACAGTGCCCATCCAAGCATTCAATAAGACTGGTCCCCATTTCAAAGCCTCATAGTTCAATGACTGAGAGCCTTCCAAGAGCTTTTCTAGAAAAAGAGCACACCAAAGGTCTTTCTGCAGGACTTGAGGTTGGCAGAGTGGTGTCACTAGTACTTGGAGGTCTGGGCAGGGTAATGTTCTGGGGCCTAACTTTGAGTGGAAGGGGAAGGTGTTAGAGGGTTTCAAGTAGAGGGATGGCGTGCTCTGACATTTTTAGAAGATTTCTCTGACTCCTTTATGGTGAATAGTCTATAGGTTCTATGGCAGAATGGAGGAGACTAGTTAAGAGATTTTTGCCATAATTCAGAAAAGAGATAAGGGCTGTTTGGAGGAGTATGGAGGTTGTAAGTAATGATGGATTCTGGATATCTTTTGAAGGTAAGACCAACAGGATTTCCTAATAAATCAGATGTATTGGATGAGAAAGAGTAGAATTAAGGACAACTTCAAGTTTTAGGGCCTGAGCAAATGAAAGGATAGAGTCGCCATCAACTGAGACAAGGAAGGGATCAGTTTTGGAAAGAAGATTAAGTGTTTGATTAAATTTTAGATGTCTGTTAGGGATCCACGTAGATTAATCTGGAGTTCAATGGAGAGGTCAAAACAGGAACTATAAGTTTGATAGTCATTGGCATATAAAGCATTGGAATGAAAAAGGTCATCAGGGGTGAATGTGGGTAGAGAAAAGAAGTTTGAGCACTAAGCCCTGCAGCAACAAAACATTAAGAAATCAGCCCTGACTGGTTTGGCTCAGTGGATAGAGCATCGGCCTGCGGACTGAAGAAATCAAGGATATGAGGAGGAATCCACCAACAGGATTGAAAATGAGTAGCCAGTGAAGTAAGTGAATAAACCAGGAAGTGTGGTACCCTCGATGGGAAGTGATGAGTGTCTCAAGGAAAGGGATCAATTGTTAAATGCCAACAATGTGTGAAATAAAAGATTGCATACACTATCCCATCTTATTCTTCTAGCTGCCCAGTGAGGTAGCAGTTAGTATTATA